GTAGTCTTCCAAAGACCAGCATCCCGTCCCCAGCTCCCACACGATGGTTCACAGCTCTCTGCTGCTCAGGTGTCAAAGGCTCCAACACTCTCTTCTGGCTCTGCCAGCACCAGGCACACACATGGTGTGTTTACGCACATACACATAAAGTAAAGTAAATTAATCTTTGAAAGAAGAATGAGTAATATATACGTTTAATATAGCATAGAGCAAAAGAAGATATGAATAGCTGTGTCCTGAGATTTTTTTAATCCACTTTTTATTTGACAATCTCGCCCCTTCCCTGAGCCCAGAAACATGGCTATAGTACCTAATATTACTTTACTCTTAACTTCTCTCTCTGCATTTTCAGAGGAAAGCCAGGTGCACAAAAACTACCCGAAAGAATCCTCACCATCAGTTTCCCGGAGCAGCCTGTCTCTGGATGTAAGGACTAAACCACTTGAACATTCTAGTCCATTTTGTCTGAGGATTATGTGGTAGAAGTCAGTATTGTGTAGTTTGGGGGGTGGGGCTCGGCTGATTAAGCGCTTGCCTTGGAAGCATGACTACCTGAGTTCAATCCTCAGACCCCATATGAGAAATGCTGTACCCATGCATCTAATCCTAGCCCAGTCAGGGGTGGGGTGAGGGTGGAGACAGATGGGATTCTCTCAGCCTAGCCTACTCAGTAGCTCCCAGGCTAGTGAGAGACCTTGTTTTAAAAACCAAAAGGAACAGGTCCTAAGGAATAACAGCCGAGGCTGTCTTCTGGCCTTCATAGGCCCATGTGTGCACGCGCGCGCGCACACACACACACGTATTTCACACATGCACACATGTCCTTCACATATGCACACACATGCTTCACACATGCATACACATGCCCTTCACCCATGCACACATTCATACTTCACCCATGCACACACACAGGTACTTCACACAAGCACACACACACACACACACAAAAATTACAAAAGAAAAATAAAGCAAGAGGGTCCTGGTACATTCTGAACATTTCACTGATCCCGAGTGACTTTGGAACTGACCATTGAAATCTGCTTTAACCTACCGGTCAGGGTGCTCTGGTCCCTGCCTCAGCAGAGACCATACCTTAATCCCACCTCCACCATCTTGACATACAGGATTGCCAGAATTTATTAATTCACTCAAATCAGTTTCCTTTCAGCTGCACTGCCTCCAACATTCCGTACAAACCATATCTATATTTCTAGCAGAATGTAAGATGGGTCAAGAATCTCCTTCTTGAGCTGGGATTAATAAATAAAACGAATGGCTGAGACTGATTACCATTTTATATGGCAAAGCACAGAACTCAAGATGGATCGTGTAGTCTGCAGCTCTGTGACATATATTAAATTCCAGACATGAGATAAATAATTCATGCAAATAGTCAAGAGCACACATCCAAGAATAAAGTTGTGGAATAAATGACAAACCTCATGAACGCTGATTTATGATATGCTCTTCATATATCTCTAATTATCATCTGAGAGTGTGCTGTTGCTTAAGAAAACTCTCCATAATTTTAAGTAGCGACGTGGGTGTGTATGTGTGTGTGCAGGTGCATGTACACATGTGTGTGCATGCCTATGGGTGCTAGAAACTAACATATGATGCCTGCTTCAATTACCTTCTACCTTGTGTTCTCATTAAAGTTGGAACGTGGTAATTCTGGTAGACTGTCTGGCCAGCAAGCCCCAAGGATCTTCCTGTCTCCCCACCAGCAGCATTGGAATTCCCAGTGTAAGCCACTATACCTGATTTACTATTTCTGTAGGTTCTGGGGCATTGAATTCAGGTTCTAATGCTTGTATGGCCGGCACTTCACCAACTGAGCCATCTTCCCAGACCTGAGAAACTTAAAAATAAATAAATAAATAAATAAATAAATAAATAAATAAATAACAAAAACTAAATATCCAGAACTCTAAAGAAGACATGTATATATTTTTCTCACATGACTATAAGGCGAATCTTCAGATTAAAGGTTAAAGTCCCTCCAATAATTTAACTAAAGGAAGGGTAAAACTGTCACAAAGGATATGAGAGACAGATTCATATTCTTTCATTTTCTACTGAGTGGATCTCTGAAGGTAAAATATAGAGGAAATTTTGATATTTAAACTTCATGCATAGTTAAATTAGTAGGGCTCAAAGTAACGTAACCACTCACCACCGGGTTTTTAGTCGCAAGGCAGATAGGGTTAAAATCTTCTTCCACAGCTTAGAATAGACAAAGTCATGATACCAGCGAGATCCCGTCCGGAAGACCTGCAAATGGGCAAGGGTGTGATTGCTTCTCGGCGTCCTCAGTGAAGAACTTCACCTGTAGCCTTGCTTGAGGGATGAGAGGGGGTTGGACCCCATGACCAGATGGCACTGACCTCTGTCCCAGAGATGCAAAGATAAGCCATTCTCTAGCCTCAAAAGGGTACCTCACAGAGTACTTGAGTGTTGGTACTGGTCACTCAACAGGGAGCACACAATGCTTTCGTCAGTTAAGTTCTGCCTGGGAGACTATAGGAAAGCAGACTAGGTTTCTCTGGAATGTTCTTAGAATACTTTACAAGATTATGACTTTGTTGTGACAGTTGTAAGTAGTTAATTTGATATTTTAATCACTAGATAACAATCATCATCATCAATCTTGTGATGTTTCTAGTCTAAAGCAGCCAAGCTGCCTGGTGACAGAGCCTCCATCCAGCCCCTGCGCTCTCCCTACCCTGCTGAGCCTGAAGAAGCAGGGACTTAACACTTGGGTTCTTCTATATGTTAAATTTGTTTTCACGGCATCAAAGGTCAACTCATCTTTATCAGGGATGATGACTGAACCTTTAGAAATCCATGATTTTTGTTGAGGGGTTAGAACAGTTGTCAAATATTGCCAACAGCGACCTGTCTGACACTGTGGTATGAGGTTTCCTGGCATACTAGGAGCCACATGACCTCGGATGACACCATTAAATCCAGAACCAAGTCTCCATTTGACACGTGTCTGAGGTTAGGGATGAAAGAATGAGGAATGTTTAAACCAAGCAATGGCTTTGCCACCGGGCCTTTAGATGAAGTTGCTGGATACTTCTGAGTCCACACATGCAGGTTTGAAACTCCAGCATTTGGGGTGAGGCTGTGGCATAGAAACCTTAGAAGGAGTCACGCGTTGTAGCTCTGGACGCCCTTTTCCCCCATCATATCTGAACGCTTGCCCTTCAGTGTCTTGCACTTTCCTTGGGTCTGTGTGCTTGCTCATTCCATTGATCTGTCTGCTTTATGTTTTCTCCTGTCATCTTTCCATTACTCCTTCTTTACTTCCTTCCTTCCATTCATCCATCCCTCCCTCTCTCCCTCCCTTCCCTCCTTTCTTTCTTTCTCCCCTTCCTTCCTTCCCTCCCTCCTTCCTTCTCTCTCCCTCCCTTTCTCTCTTCCTCCCTCGCTCTCTCCCTTCTTTCCTTCCATCCTTCTTTCCCAGAATGACTTGTGCTTCTAGGCTGCTAATGTCTCTAGGCCCCAGCCTAGACTATAAGGAGAAAGCAAACTCAGGTAACTAACCCCTCACTGCATCCATCTTAGACTCGCTGCTCTCTAACTTTCAGAGTCTAAGTTTGTTCCGTGGATCAGCACCAGAGTTCTGAGCTGTGCTTAAGGAAAAGCACATCTCCATCATTTCCCCAGAATGGCCGCCCTCCTGTCTTTTCTTCCTCAGTCATCAAGGTAAATACATACATTAGAACGTTTCTGCCCCTAGGTCTGCAAGCTCCCTGATGAGCACGTTCACAGTTCACACCAGCACCGTCCCCGGAATCCCTTCGCTGCTCCAGATAGAATCTTATACCCAGAAAACACTCATTTCCATTCTCCCCTACTGTAGGGGAGACTCGTGCAGCACTTCTAGGCCTGGGATTGACTAATTTTACTTCGGACAGTGTGGTCAAGGTTCGCCAGTCGCTGTGCATTGCCTGTCCTTCAAGCACAACAGCTGTCCTCTTCATTCCATCTGCTGTGGGATGCTGCTTGTGAGAGACTGTGGTGATCAGGCCTGCTGATGCTTCCTCAGAGACGGAGGTGTCAGGGAGGGTTGTCTGACCACCCCCTAAAATCCCAGGCCCTCCTTCCAGCCATCTGAATGCAATTCTGTTCTACGTGTATGTGGCCTTGGGATCTTGAAGGTGCAGAATACAGGCTGGGAAAGGCTAATGGGGGGGGGGGGGACGGGCAGCACCTATGCAGCTATGGAGAAGACATCGTGATGGATAAAGACTTTCTGATGCATCTGCTTTGGGGGGTACCCCCTGAGTTCTGTAAGCAACCTCTCACGCTCTGTAAATAAGGCCGATAGCTTTATTGGTTTCCATAGTGAACTTTGTTCAGAGAGTACTCTGGGTTGTCATGGGAACCTTACGGGAAGACACAGGTGTTGCTTACCTCTCCTCAGGGAAAGAATCCCATCAATACTCATATCCCAGTGTATACGAAAATCTGCTTCTTCTTATCGGCTGGATAATAGTTGCTTCATAGAGATACACCGTACCCCACTCTGCGTACTTGGTTTTCAGCCGATGGGCACTCGACTGTTTCCTTGCTTGCCTTTTCATGGGCCAGTGCTGCAGTTTTGGTGAGAATGGGAGTGGTCACATGAGATGGAACGTGGGCATGTGAGGAGGGAGTGGACATACGGATGTCTTAATGGGTTTGCCTCTCTGTTGTTTCCTTGGTTCTACTAAAGGCGGCAGAAAAAGAAGACCTTAACCCTTCGGTGCAAGTCCTGGCATCTGAACCCATCTACACCTACTTTTCCTTCAGGACGCCAGAGACAGGCATTCTTTAAGTCTGGCAGACTGGTGCACGGAGACTTCCGGAACCTTCCAGCATGGATGTATCCACAATGTAGTCTGCTATTTTTAAATGTCAAAAAGAAAAGGAGAAAAGAAAGAAAGGAAAAGTAGTCTTGAGAGTCTGGGTGCATCCCTGCTCCCCGAGGCCTCATCAGTCCCTGTCAGTGTAGCCTGTGCAGACTGCTCTGAGCTGTCACCGAGCCTCAGGGAGCCAGTCAACCAAACCTGTAAGCAAATAAACTGGGAACCCTGCAAGCCACTGTGGGCAGGTGCTTTTCCATTGCTGAACGCTCTTCCGGAAGACATGGTTAGTGCACTAACTCCTGTGTTAAGACTGTGAGACTGTGGAGCTTCGGGGTTTGAACAGAGGTTTGCTGGTGGGAACTCTGACTCTATAGGGGCAAGCCTGCAATCTGCACCCTGGCATACCCCGTGCTCCGGGAAGGTAGAGTTGATTCAATAGGATGTGCATACATCTACTAAAAAATAACAGCCCACTTCCGTAAATATCCTCAGAATTGTATTGTGATTTGTCTGACTCTTTCTCTTCTTCTCTCTTCTCCTCCTCTCCCCTCCCCTCCCTTCTCCTCCCCTCCTCTCCTTCTCCCCCACCCTACACCAGACTGCCCTCAAGCTCACAGAGCTCCACCTACCTCTGCCTGCCTTGCTGGTGCTGGGATTAAAGGCATGTACTCTACCACCCTCACCACCCAGCTCTGATTTGACCCTTAAATGACCCCAAAGGCATGTGCTGGTTCTCCAGTCTGTGGCCTATAGGAAGGGGGATAGAACCTTCAGGAGGTGGGGCCTGAAAGAAGGAAGTGAGGTCACAGGTGCATATACTTGACAAAGATGTGAGCTCCTAATGGTCGTTCTCTCTCTCTCTCTCTCTCTCTCTCTCTCTCTCTCTCTCTCTCTCTCTGCCTCCGGGCTGCTGCGAAGAGAGGGGCACTGTCCCGCCATGAGTTCTCTACCACCTTCTGCTCTGCCTTAGCTAGAAAGAAGCACAGCCAGCTAACAGTGGCCATGAATGAAAGCAGAATTTTTTTTCCTTTTCAGCAGGCCACTTTGGATATTTTGCATGGTAACAGGAAGCTAACAGACGTGGTGAGACAATAACCCAAGTGCCTCCCCTGAGTTTAGATTTTGAAGTCTCACAACCATCGTAGCCTCCAATTAATTCAGGACATATATATTTTAGAGCAAGGCTGTTGTTCTGACTTCACAAACAAGCCTCTGGGTGCCCAGATTTGCAGACTGGCTTTAGTTTCCTGTGCGTCAGCTCTGCTCATGACAGGCATGAGACTTTGCATTGTGGGGTCCTGAAATCAGAAGATAAGTCTTTATTTTACTCAATTCTGGAGATTAGACCAATGAAGAAAAGTCATTGGTCCCATTCCAAACACATAAAATGCTAGCTATATAAAATATAACTATATCAAAGTCAGGGCTGGCAAGACGGCTCAAAGGGGGCTTGCTTTCAAGCCTGTTCGATTCTCAGGAACCACATGGTAGAGAGAATTGACTCTCCCTGCTTGTTTCTGTGACTGTGGTATGTGAATGTATGCATGCGTGAACACGTATGCACACACACACACACACACACAAATTAAAGTCAAGAATGGAAGCTAGAAGAAAAATCTGGAGTGGATGAAGTGCACAGGGTGACAGGATCCCAGTCTTAAGTCCAGGGCCATGTCTGAATACAGGCTGAGCTCCCCAGTCGACAGGCACAAGACCACTCCATGACTCTGCAGGATTTTCATTGCTCAGAACTATGATTAAAACCTATGAATAGGGCTGCAGCTTGCCTGAGTCTGTTCCAAGGCCTATATTTAATGGCATCATGGTTTGCCCTCAAAACTGTCCAGATTTAGGTGATTAATTATATGGTCTGGGGTTTTTATTTCCAAACTAATGAAATATAAAGCTATTTGGGAGACAAGATGGCCAATATTATATAGTTTCCCGTTTGGAAGTCCCCACACCCGTTCATTTTAGGAATGACAGTATGGAATTCCCCATATCCACGAGTGAAATTCCACCTGTTTTCTGGGTCGGAAGGTGGAACCAGACGGCTTGATTTCGCCTTTTGGTTTCTCTAGAAGACAGCTGGGAAATGATTGCTGCATAGGAACAGCAGTGACTGCCTGTCGAGAGAGAGGTATCCTTCTGAACTTGCAGCCTAGCTGCAGGAAATGCTCCAACCCTTCTAGAGGGCTTGCGCCAGGCTGAGCGGGGAGATGCGGGGCAGCCCAAGCCTGCCTTTGCACGACCCAGTGTGGCCTGCGGCTGCCGTCCTATGCTTGATTATTGAGCCTAAAAAGTGAGAATGTAATCCATTATTACAGAAACAACAAACTATCTCCCCTCGGGGCATCTGGCAGGACCTTGAACATTGGAAGACTCCAGAAGTCATTGTCATAAGCTAGATGCAATTAGATGCTGAGTAATGGCTGGGTCTTAATATATAATTAGTGCTGGCAAAATAACAGGAGAAAGTCATTTATTTCTAATGTGAACGCAATAGGAGGTCGTGAGAACACATTATAGCAGAATCACTCAGTCTTTGTCAGAAGTCACAGAATCTCCCTGATGTCAACATTGAGAATATGGCTGGCCGGCATGAGGGCTGTCAAGCACTGGATCCCCTCATGAAGGGAACTCTCTGGAGCAAAGAGAGATACCACCTCCATGATGAGACGAGCTACCACCGCTCTGCTCGGATGTTCTGAAAATCAGCATCTCTGACCTTTTTCTGTGTTGTCGTCCACTGAAGATTTATCTGCAGTAGAGTCCAAAGGGCTTGCTCCAGGCAGGCTTCTCCACTCCCTCATTCAAGTGTCTAGTACTCTGTATTCAAGCTCTAAGCTGCTAAAAGCAAATAGACCAGGCTGTCCCATGAACTTGGAAAGATATAACATTTTCTATGCCAAGGAATACATGTGTTACAAACATAGGTCCTCCAAAGTAAATCTTAAAAAATTCAAAAGGGCCTACAAAAAGATAAAAATGATTGTGTGTGTTTTACTCCATGGCTTCAGTGCCAAGAATCTCTTTTCTCTACTTTTTTTCCCAAATACATTTGAAAATAAGTTGGGCATATGGGTACGCAGAAGCATCATGTTCTGAGTAGGTAGAAATGCCGTTTTAGCATGCTCAACTGTGCCTCTAAAAACTTCTGTACAGAAGCAGATCACTGTGTAATCCATGAGCATTATGCCAAGGCCCCAACTAGGCAGCCTCTGTGGACTGACACAGAGGCAGCCTCCTCCCTGTCTCCCCTGGCTGTTGTCCTCTGTGGACTGACACAGAGGCAGCCTCCTCCCTGTCTCCCCGGCTGTTGTCCTCTGCTCCTCCTGCCTGAGGCCCCAGCAGCCAAGCCCCATAAACACCTAGGACGGGGTGAACGGGCTGCCTGTGCCTCTTCAAGCCCTGGAATCACACATCCTTGACTTCTAACCACAACAATGAACAGGAAGAGCTCATGAATTGCTGACGGGATCCCAACTATCAAGGACATACTTGAGAGTTTTATAAATTAGCCTATTGCTTTTTATCCTTGATGATTAATTTTTAAAACTCGATTTTGCCTTGATGATGTTTTATTACTGTTGGTGTACTTTTACCCAATCAGAACAATCTTACTGGTTTTATTGAAGCAGAAGTTAGTGTGAGTCTTTAATGAATAATGTCATCTTATGTCTCATGGCAATGAAATTGTTTAATTAGGAAGAACAAAGACTTTAATATTCCCTTATCATTATCCCTCAGTATGCGTCGAATTATTAACTATTGGACCTGTTCGAGTTTTTCTTATTTTTGAAGCTGCTGCTTGAATTGCCCACTGGCGCTCATGTAAAAGATAATCAGAGAATTACGGCTTGGGATTAGATAGAATTTCCAAGAATTTGAGAAATGTCCCTCAATATACTTTTGCCGCTCTGTAACTATGCATTTATTAGAACTGGCATTCTCAACAGTGACAGTTATAAAATCAAAACGTCAGTCACTCCGAAAAGCAGCAAAGACGGTCTGCATCCTGCCTCGTCATTCGGCCAAGCATTAGCTCTCTGTAAAAATAAACAAGCCATCTAGCTCAGTAGCATGCAAATTCACTTTCATCCTTGCTAAATGCTAAAACTAAGTGCCTACCAAAGAATAATTTTAAGTTAATTTCTTAGGACTTACTCTATGTTTGATTTGTAATCCCACTTTACCTATTCAAACACACACCCTCCCCCCATACACACACAGCCAGGGCCCTAGAGGGAGCTCAATGTTCCAGAAAGTCAGCTACTTGGTGACCGCAGATCATAAAGAGCTGACCTCCCCCCAGACACCTTGTGGTTTCAAAAGGAGATAACAGACCCTACAGTTTCACAGAAAGCTATCTAAGGAAACAGCCAACTCGCCATGCTGCCCCTAGGAAAATCCCTTCTCCTCTCCCCTTCACTACATGCTTGAAGCATGTCACGTGTTCTCTTGAGCTCCTGTCCTGTGCCCTGGTAACTCTGTGATGGTAACCTAAAGTCCCATCTTCTATTTCTTCCCACAAACTTAATTCTTTCGAACTCTTACACCTTGCGGGTCTCAGAAGGCCCAATACAGGGCAGCTGTCTGCAGTGTCGTGGCTTGGCTTGCTCCACCCTGTACAGAACAGCAGCTTCTCCTTGGCTACTCCCAAGATGGCTGCAAACGTCAAGGTATGGAATGATTCGGCACAAGCAGCAGCAGCAGCAATCAGTGGGTTTTTGAAATAAAAGACAGACTAATTCTTAATATTATTTATTTTTGACTATGGGGCAGACTACCAGGAAGCTTGTGTGAAGGTCAAAGGTCAACTCATGGTAGCCAGTTCCTCCAGCAGAACCACACCTACTCCAAGGAGACCACATCTTCATTAGTGCCACTCCCCCTGGGGGACATTTTCTTTAAAATCACTCCAGGGTCATTAAATGTGAGCAGTACATTGTACCTCCAATAATAAAAGATGTGTCTACATGTGTACTATTGCTTAGATTTTAAAGTATTCTTAATATAGGTATA